TTTGGATCATCGTGTTTTCATTGTCATTTGTCTCTAGGTATTTTTTGATTTCCTCTTTGATTTGTTCAGTGATCTCTTGGTTATTTAGTAACGTATTGTTTAGCCTCCATATGTTTGCGTTTTTTATGTTTTTTTCCCTGTAGTTGATTTCTAATCTCATAGCGTTGTGGTCAGAAAAGATACTTGATATGATTTTAATTTTCTTAAATTTACCAAGGCTTGATTTGTGACCCAAGGTGTGATCTATCCTGGAGAATGTTCCGTGCGCACTTGAGAAGAAAGTGTAATCTGGTGTTTTTGGGTGGAATGTCCTATAAATATCAATTAAATCTATGTGGTCTATTGTGTCATTTAAAGCTTGTGTTTCCTTAGTAATTTTCTCTTTGGATGATCTGTCCGTGGGTGTAAGTGAGATGTTAAAGTCCCCCCATTATTATTGTGTTACTTTCGATTTCCTCTTTTTTAGCTGTTAGCAGTTGCCTTATGTATTGAGGTGCTCCTATGTTGGGAGCATATATAATTGTTATATCTTCTTCTTGGATTGATCTCTTGATCATTATGTAGTGTCCTTCTCTGTTTCTTGCAGTAGTCTTTATTTTAAAGTCTATTTTGTCTGATAATGAGTATTGGTACTCCAGCTTTCTTCTGATTTCCATTTGCATGGAATATCTTTTTCCATACCCTCACTTTCAGTCTGTATGTGTCCCTAGGTCTGAAGTGGGTCTCTTGTAGACAGCACATATATGGGTCTTGTTGTTGTATCCATTCAGCCAGTCTGTGTCTTTTGGTTGGAGCATTTAATCCATTGACGTTTAAGGTAATTATCAATATGTATGTTCCTATGACCATTTTCTTAATTGTTATGGGTTTGTTTTTGTAGGTCTTTTTCTTCTCTTGTGTTTCCCTCTTAGAGAAGTTCCTTTAGCATTTGTTGTAGAGCTGGTTTGGTGGCGCTGAATTCTCTTAGGTTTTGCTTGTCTGTAAAGCTTTTGATTTCTCCATCAAATCTGAATGAGATCCTTGCTGAGTAGAGTAATCTTGGTTGTAGGTTCTCCCCTTTCATCACTTTAAATATGTCATGTCACTCCCTTCTGGCTTGTAGAGTTTCTGCTGAGAAATCAGCTGTTAACCTTATGGGAGTTCCCTTGTATGTTATTTGTCTTTTTTCCCTTGCTGCTTAGAGATGAGGGTCCATTTCTGGAATGTGGAATTGGAAATATCTGCATGAACTCATTATTTCTTTCTGTCTAAAAGATGTATACTTCTTATCTCTGTCCTCTGAATCAGTGACCCAGTAGCAATGAGTGTTTCTAGTGCTGAGACCATGGTCTCTAAATACCAGTCTCATTAAAAGAAACCAGGACTCCTTCGAGAGGTAACTAATGCACAGTCGTAGGCAGGAATTCATAAGATGAGCTTGAGACATATTATCTTAGTAGAAGGTAGGTAATTTTCAAGGGGCTCTCAGTGGCCATAGATGGACAAGTTTAGCATAAAAATAATAGTGATCGAAATCAACTAAAATCCATAAAATACGTTATTTAAAAACCTATTATATTCACATTGATGCTCCAAAGTGAACTGATCAGTAACCTTGGTAATTTCTAGCTTCCCCCACCCCGCTACCTCGGTCCCATTTGGACTTGCAATCACTCCAAAATCATTGTTGTGAAAACTGGTGAATGATAACAAAGAAACATTTATCAAGCATCTACCTTGCCTTTCCTTTACAAACCATATTTTATGATAGCAAAATAAGTTGATAAAGGAAGGTTCTTTATAGAAGAAAAGCAGATGAAAAAATATACAAGGAATGACAGAATTTGAAAATTCCATATTGCCATGTCTAAAATAATACAACTGGACATTGGTCATTAGTAGATAACGTTTGATGTGGAAGTTTATACTGGATGAGTTAGGCTAACAGCCCGTGAACCCATGGGTCAATTTCAATATCATTAAGAGTAGAACAACTGGACAGTATATCCCTCCAGATATATTGCAACAGGATATACACAGTAGCCAGCTCCAAGTATTCTTGCCAAAATAATCAAACCTGAATTAAATTGAGTCTATAGGTCTAGTTACCAGTTTACAGGAAATGCAGGGATATAATAACAACCCAACAAGAACATCTGCCGGAAAAATATTCTCATTTGTCCAACAAATAAATGGCCTGAAAAATTGCAGGTGGGGAAGAGGACTGTTAGAGGTTGAAGGAGACTTAAGATCTGTGGCCAAATGGAATGTGTGGACCTGCTTTGTATCTTGAGTCAAACAAATGAACTGTAAAAAAGAAGACAGTTTTTTGTGACAGTTGAGTTTTGAACGCAGATGGTATATTGAGTATGTTAAGAAGTGGGTTAATTGTATTAGGTGGTAATGGCGTTGTGGTTATGTTTTTTAAAAAAAAGGTATATGTGAGACTTACAGAAGCAGTTACAGGAGAAATAAGATGATATCTAGAATTTGCTTTAAAATACTAAAAAAAGAAAAGTAGATGGGGATAATTAAACAATATTGGCAAACTATGATAATTATGAAAGAGGGTGATAGGGATTCATTTTACTGAAATTTCTCATGACTTTCTTTGTTTTCATAATAAAATGTTTAAACAAGAAAAACTTGTATTTTCATCTGAAGTGAAAGTTCTGTCTATGAAGAGCACTGACTATATGGCTGAGCTAGGCCATGTAACATCGTATTAATGGGCTTTGCTGGCATTTTCACTGTTACGAAGAAAGACTTAGGTCGTACTTCATTTCTAATCTCATATGAGCACCTTCCCTGACAGCAGGTGACTTCCAAGTGTAATCTCAGAGCTTGGTGTTTGTTGCCTGTTTTTTCACAGGCTGGAAAGGCTTGCCAGCCCAGCATGGATTCGATCGCATTCATTGTGCTGCTTTTGCTTGAAAACTGAATAAAGATCAGGAAGAGCACAGTTGTTCATCAGCTGTTCCGTCTGAATCAAGCAGCATGTAGATGGGTATCCAGGGGTCCGCCTCCTCCTTCTGAAGGACCGCTGTTCACATAGCTGGGTCCCTTGCACCTCTGACCATCAGCATGATGTGTCGCAAAGTAATCATGAACTCCCCAAAAGAGAACATCTTCTCTTGCAGCATGTGTTTACCACATACTACGTTTTAAAGCCCTTCTACCCTACCTGCAGCTCACAAACGCCAAGTGCTGATTCATAGAGTGCACTTGAGTGATGCATGCTAACTCAGAAGAGAATGCCTGTCGGTGTAATGCATGTGTCCTAATAATTGCTTTTCTTTACTATGTGTCATTGATGATATGTGCTATGAAACCTTGTCACTTGATAGAGAAATTTTGCAAATAATTCATTCGACTTTCCCTTCAAGTGTATTTATTTTCAGCTTTGTGGCTTATACCGGTTTTTGCCGCAAGGATTACAACTTTGAATGATGCTCTGTAATTTTGGTTTCTCTCTGCCTTTAGTGATAAAGTTAATTGCTTTTGTAGTCTAATTACTTTGCACTTGTCTAGGAACACTAGATTGGTTTACTGAAAATGACCGTGTGCAGTGTCTGGGAAGGGTACCAAAGGTCGGATGGCTGTGCCTGACAGAGTTTCCATCCAATTGTCCTGAGAACTAGCGACCAGTGGATTGCAGGGCCAATAAATAAGTGGATTGCAGGTCCAGCTTACAACACATGTCCTCCTTCCTTACCATGTTTTTTTCCCCATCTGCTTGTGTAAAATATTTATAGTCGAAGATTCACTTTTTTCTAGAACGTTGAGATCTGTTGATACTAAAGGACCCCCTTACCGTTTCGGTTTATAACATTTCATGTTGTCTTTTCACCACGTTTACATCTGAATCATTTTGGGAATTCAAAATGTAATGCTGCATTACAATAATAATAAAAATGCCAACTTAAATGTATTGGTCATAACAAACTACATCAAAGTGAAAGTTGAGGGCTTCCCTGGTGGCGCAGTGGTTGAGAGTCTGCCTGCCGATGCAGGGGACACGGGTTCATGCCCTGGTCCGGGAGGATCCCACATGCCGCGGAGTGGATAGGCCCGTGAGCCATGGCCGCTGAGCCTTTACGTCCGGAGCCTGTGCTCCGCAACGGGAGAGGCCAGAACAGTGAGAGGCCCCACTAACGCAAAAAAAAAAAAAAAAAAAAAAAAAAAGTGAAAGTTGATGAAGACCAGCCACAGTGTGAATATGAGGTTTGCAGAGACAGACCTGGCAATTTCTCAATTTCACATTGTTTAAAATCATTATCGTACACTTTGGAATGCATGTGAAAGAAATCATTTCTTTAGCCTCTGGAGGTGACCCAATTACTTTTCCATCCTTGATAGATCCCCAGTTCACTTGTGGTCTCTGAGCCACCCTATGAAGAACTGTACCTTTAAACAGAACCTGGGGACAGGATGTTTACATATAGCACTGTGCAGTGTCAGGGAGTCTTCCATCCCTGGAAGCCTGTCCATGTAGTATAGTGTTTCTCAAAGTGTAATTTGGGGAACACTTCCACCAAAATCAGCGGGGGAGCTTTTTAACAAGTATATTCCTAGGCCTCATTCCAGGCTCCTGAGCAGACTCTCTGGGCGTGTGGCCTGGGAACCTGCATTTTAGAAACCCTTCCCAAGTGTACCTGGTACAAATACAGTTGAAGGACTGTTTAGAGTTTATGCAGCGTAGACTATGTATGCCTGCTCTGCTGGGTTTACGTGACACGTTATTTTTATATTTTATGATGAATGTTTTTACCCTTCTCCTATTTTACCCCCAGGACTGGTCCATCATGTCTGTAACCTGTTCACTGAAACTGCCACACTGTGCTTGGATGTGGACAATAAAAACAACAACGAGATGGCAGCCGCCCTGCTATTTTCCCTGCTTGACATTTTGCACAGCATGCTGACCTATACCTCCGGAGTCGTGCGACTGGCTCTGCAGGTAGAGGACCTCTCTCTCCACATCTTGAACAACCCTGTGCCACGTCCCACTTCCCTTTCCTTCTCTTTTCTCTCATCTTCCTTGAATGTGGCTTTATTTTTGGAAAAGAACATATGATTCCGTAGGGAGAGAATACCATATTCATTAGCCATCTTTGGGTGACCAGTGTCAAGGACAGGTAATTTGAACACAAAGTCTGAAAGGAAAGCAGGAGAGGCCCAAGCAAAGAATTGGTGAGTACTCATTAGGGAACTGCTGGCGACCCAGAGATCATTTGGACTGTGAGGTTGGCCAAGCAGTGTGTAGTCTTTCCTGTCCAGAGATGGCACTCCAGCCCACCCCCAACAGGATGGATTAGCTAGCGAGCAGCAGCGGATTGAGGTTATAGGTGCGCATACACACGCACACATAATGTGTTTGTATGTGCATAGATACACACACATACATATACATGCATATGCAACACATAAACCCTCACACTTGCTTTCCGTTATGACTGATAATGTGGAATTGCAAGATGGTTTTTTTTGTTTGTTTTTAAATATCTTTATTGGAGTATAATTGCTTTACAATGGTGTGTTAGTTTCTGCTCTGTCACAAAGTGAATCATCTATACGTATACGTATATGTCCATATCCCCTCCCTCTTGCGTCTCCCTCCCACCCTCCCTATCCCACCCCTCTAGGTGGGCACAAAGCACCGAGCTGATCTCCCTGTGCTATGTGGCTGCTTCCCACTAGCTATCTATTTTATTTATTTTACATTTGGTAGTGTATATATGTCCATGCCACTCTCTCACTTTGTCCCAGCTTACCCGTCCCTCTCCCTGTGTCCTCAAGTCTGTTCTCTACGTCTGCATCTTTATTCCTGTCCTGCCCCTAGGTTCTTCAGAACCTTTTTTTTTTTTTTAAGATTCCATATATATGTGTTAGCATACAGTATTTGTTTTTCTCTTTCTGACTTACTTCACTCTGTGTGACAGTCTCTATCTCCATCCACCTCACTACAACTAACTCAATTTCATTTCTTTTTATGGCTGTAATATTCCATTGTATACATGTGCCACATCTTCTTTATCCATTCATCTGCTGATGGACACTTAGGTTACTTCCATGTCCTGGCTATTGTAAATAGAGCTGCAGTGAACATTGTGGTACATGATTTCTTTTGAATTATGGTTTTCTCAGGGTATATGCCCAGTAGTGGGATTGCTGGCTCATATGGTAGTTCTATTTGTAGTTTTTTAAGGAACCTCCATACTGTTCTCCATAGTGGCTGCATCAATTTACATTCCCACCAACAGTGCAAGAGGGTTCCCTTTTCTCCACACCCTCTCCAGCATTTATTGTTTGTAGATTTTTTGATGATGGCCATTCTGACTGGTGTGAGGTGATACCTCACTGTAGTTTTGATTTGCTTTTCTCTAATGATAGTGATGTTGAGCATCCTTTCATGTGTTTGTTGGCCGTCTGTATATCTTCTTTGGGGAAATGTCTGTTTAGGTCTTCTGCCCATTTTTGGATTGGGTTGTTTGTTTTTTTGATATTGAGTTACATGAGCTGCTTGTATATTTTGGAGATAATCCTTTGTCAGTTGCTTCGTTTGCAAATATTTTCTTCCATTCTGAGCGTTGTCTTTTTGTCTTGTTTATGGTTTCCTTTGCTGTGCAAAAGCTTTTACGTTTCATTAGGTCCCATTTGTTTATTTTTGTTTTTATTTCCATTTCTCTAGGAGGTGGGTCAAAAAGGATCTTGCTGTGACTTATGTCATAGTTTTCCTGTGTTTTCCTCTAAGAGTTTTAGAGAATCTGGCCTTATATTTAGGTCCTTAATCCATTTTGAGTTTATTTTTGTGTGTGGTGTTAGGAAGTGTTCTAATTTCATTCTTTTACATGTAGCTGTCGCGTTTTCCCAGTAACACTTACTGAAGAGGCTGTCTTTTCTCCATTGTAAATTCTTGCCTCCTTTAACAAAGATAAGGTGACCATATGTACATGGGTTTATCTTTGGACTTTCTCTCCTGTTCCATTGGTCTATATTTCTGTTTTTGTGCCACTACCATACTGCCTTGATTACTGTAGCTTTGAGCTGGAGGAATCAGGCCCCCTGCAAGATGGTTTTGAGGGCTAGAGATGTATTGGGTTGGCCAAAAAGTTCCTTTGGTTTTTAAGTAAAAAGACACATTTTTCATTTGCACCAAGAACTTTATTGAACAACATATTCACCCTTTTTTGTTCCACTGCCTTCTGCCATTTTCAGGCAACTTCATAATTCCATTTTCCCAAAACTTTTTGTCTTTTTGAGCCAATAACTGTCCCAGGTGCCTTTTACAGTCTTCCACGGAATGGAAATTTTTTCCATTAAGAGAATTTTGTAAAGACCTAAATAAATGGAAATCCGAAGGTGCAATGTCTGGTAAAAATGGCGGATGAATCAGAAGTTCCCACCCAAGCTGTAAGTTTTTGCCTGGTCATCATAGAAACACGCGGTCTTGCGTTATCCTGATGGAAGATTATGTGTTTTCTGTTGACTAATTCTGGACACTTTTCATTGAGTGCTGCTTTCAGTTGGTCTAA